AACCTGGTTGTCGTGGTCAGCACCTCTCTGCGCCTCCAGTCCACCAACGCACATGACGAGCTAACAGGACAAACTGGTTGCAGCTGGAACGCCCTCCACGCGGCTGGCCAGCCGTCAAGCGCCGAAAAGAACAGTGTCACACCGCCTCGCAGCGTTCGCTTAAAAAAAAAAAGAAATGTAGCCATACGTACCATTTCGCTATCTCCAGAAACGTCCACGGGACTACGTTTTCAGAATGAGCCTGGGTTAAATTTGCTCCAAATGGAGCCAGGACTAGCAGAATTTCGAAAAGTAGCAGTTTTAGTTACTTTCGTATTGGCTTCCCGAGGGAGAGCGGGAGGTTGCTGCTTGGGCTAGATGCAAATGATCTGTAAGGCAAAATCCAGGTCCTAAATTTCTGAAAAACTGTAACTTGATGTAAGGAGACAGGAGTTGTGCTTTGTAATGAGAAGTTGCTGTACTTTTTATTTCAGTACTGACTGCTACTTTTCTTTTACCGTTTTTCTTGCTTTGAATAACTGCATGGTCAGCTACACTGTAAAAATGACATTTTCATTAGGCATTTTTGTCTTTTCTTTTTTAAATATGTAAAACTCAGGGTTCATACGGTCACGAAAAATCTGGAAAAGTCATGGAATTTTGACATGGCATTTTTGGAATTTTGGAAAAAACAGAAAAACCCACAAAGTTTTGGAGAAGTCATGGAAAACAGATATCTGTATACTTGAATATAGGTTAGTTGTGTTGACCTATTCTGTCCTTGGCCAATCACATACTCTCACATTATTAGTGCGGTGTAAGCATTATCTAAATCATTCATTCATTTTCTTGTTGACTTGGTCCTTTTATTAATCTGGGGTCACCACAGCGGAATGAACCGCCAACTTTTCCAGCACGTTTTATGCAGCGGATGGCCTTCCAGCCACAACCCATCTCTGTGAAACATCCACAAACACTCATTCACACACACGCATACACTACGGACAATTTAGCCTACCCAATTCACCTGTACCGCATGTCTTTGAACTGTGGGGACAACTGGAGCACCTGGAGGAAACCCACGCGAACGCAGGGAGAACATGCAAACTCCACACAGAAACGCCAACTGAGCCGAGGATCGAACCAGCGACCCAGCAACTTTCTTGCTGTGAGGCAACAGCACTACTGCGCCACTGCTTGCCCTTATCTAAATCAATTTTACATAAATATAAATTGAACCTAAATAGATTGCTGTGTGTTTACGATACGCATATAACGATATGCTGTAATAAATTTGAAGATGCATTGTTTTTCTTTTTTCATATATAGACGTTGCATGAAACATTAGGTCAAGAAAATTAATTGAAAGTCTTGTAAAAGTCATGGAATTTTAGTAGTAAAAATATGTATGAACACCGAAAACTTTTTGAATCAATATACAATTAACAAGAAACAAGCCATACGATATTAAATCTTGTTTTATGAAAGACAATTTAATAATGTAAGTTCATAATTTGACTCGGGTTCATCATTTGCTTGTGCTTGTTTTGTTCTATAAACCTTGATTGTTAAATTTTTACACAACAAGACTAACGATCAGAGGTAACTTTTTTTTGTCAAGAAAGTGTATCTTGATTCAAGAATGATTAGATATTTGTAAAATACAAGACAAAAATGCTTAATAAAGATGTTTTGTTATTTGCAGTGTATTCTTTAGTGTTGTTCTATTTTGCATGAAGTTATAAATGTAAAAGGGCACACTGTTCTTTTTTTCAAAGTGCAATTTTTGTTGATGCAAATGTGCAATATTGTTGATATGTCATGCTTTATTGACTTGAATTAACATTGTTTTGAATTAACATACAACATGTTTTATGGAACAAATAAATGATCCTATTGTTGTTCCAACAATCTGCTATCTGCCTGTGTATGATTAACTAATTAGAGCAATTTAAATAATCAGTTTCCTTTTTCTAGTAATGTGAACTAGCAAATACAGCTGAAGTCAGAATTATTAGCCCCTGTTTATTTGTATTTGTATTTATTTATTTATTGTATTTATAAATATTCATTGTATTTATTTATTTATTTTTATATTTCCCAAATGATACTATAACATGTGATAACAGAGCAAGGAAATTTCCACAGCATGTCTGATAATATTTTTTCTTCTGGAGAAAGTCTTATTTGTTTTATTTCGGCTAGAATAAAAGCAGTTTTTAATCTTTTCGATAGTCTACAGAACAAACTATCTTTATACAATCACTTGCCTAATTACCCTAACCTGCCTAGTTAACCTAATTAACATAGTTAAGCCTTTAAATGTCACTTTAAGCTGTATAAAAGTGTCCTGAAAAATATCTAGTCAAATATTTTTTACTGTCATCATGGCAAAGATAAAATAAATCAGTTATTAGAAATGAGTTATTAAAACTATTATGTTAAAAAATGTGTTGAGAAAATCTCTTCGTTAAACAGAAATTGGGGAGAAAAAATAAACAGCAAGGCTAATAATTCTGACTTCAACTGTATGTTAACTGAACTGTTTTAATTGAATTATCAGTAATAAGTCTAACTTAGACCTTTAAGTCAACTGAACTTGTTATACTAAGTTCCCTGTACTCAGGTTTTTAGGTAGTCTTTACAAATAAAAAAGTTAACTGAACTAAGTTATTGTAGTTTAATCAACTCAGAAATTATACATTAATTTACTTGAAAATAAGGTTATCAGTTTCCACAGTTTTTCTAAGAAAACTAAACTCATGACTTTTTACAGTGTAGTTTTTTTACTCAAATGGTTGGTTTCAGTCGGTTTCCTCAAATGGTTTGAGTTACCTTAACTTTTTGGCTTTAACAGTGTATGTCTTGCTGGGTGGATTATATTAAAGCAGAATACTTCAGAATAATCTATAATAAATGATGTTTAATAAATGAGTTTGTGTTTGTTTCATTTGTTGTGCTTCTTTGTTTACAGTTATATCAATTTCAAATTAATAATCAATTTAAAGCAGCTTTTATCCTAGCTCTATGATTAATCTAAGAAAAAAAAAGCTGTTTTAAATGGATCATTAATGTGAATTGTATTAGTTTTTATGCCATTTGCATTGATCCTCAGACATTTATTTAAAAGAAAACATGCTGTGACATGAGCTATGATGCGTAGAATGTGTTCTAATCGTAGTTCCAAACGGTACATTAAGCCTGCAAAACTGAGAAGTTCTATGTGGGTTTGTTGAAGTTGTGAAGTGGCTTATAGATTATACACTCCAATTTTCTGATGCTGATGAAAGAAATCATGAAGAAAGGAGAAGAGGAGATGGAGGTGGAGGAGATGGAGTGGGAGGTGGAGGATGAGAGGATGGAGTGGGAGGACTATGAGAAGTGGACGGTGGAGGCGAATGAGAAGTGGAAGGTGGAGGAGAATGAGAAGTGGAAGGTGGAGGAGGGAGAAGAGATGGAGGTGGAGGAGATGGAGTGGGAGGTGGCAGATGAGAGGATGAAGTGGGAGGAGTATGACAAGTGGACAGTGGAGGCAAACGAGAAGTGGATGGTGGAGGAGGAGATGATGATAAAGAAGAGGAGGAGGAGGAGGAGGGGAGGGATAAAGAAAATGGACACTGAGGTGAAAAAGGAGGCTGAGAAGGAGGAAACGAAGAAGTGGAGGAGGAAAAGGAAAATTGAGTCAAAAGAGGACGAGATAAAGGAGGAGGTGGAAACCAGCATGAAGAAGAGGAAGAAGAGGAGATGAAGTTTGAAGAAGAAAGTGTACAGAGCAGAGGAACCTTTGCTAAAAGATTGTACATATGTAAATGTTTGAAATGCTTAATAAAAAAAAAAATTCTGCTTGTTGTGTTTATCTGCTCAATTTTCTGTTTTAAAAGTGCTGAATTTTGTGTCTGGAGTCATGTTGGTGATGATTCTTGTCACGGTCACCAGCGATCCAGCCTTTGCAGAATCACTGATGAACTACAAAGGCCATCATGCACCTCACTTACACACCTGGTCCAGATCCCCCATGATTTAAATGGCTCATTTAGTCCATGATACAAACAAATCTCCAAGTATGCAGTCTGAGAGGTCAGATTCATTTGAAATGTCCAAAAACTTACAGATATAGTCCTCAAGGGTGCTTGATCCTTGTCTTAGCAGACACAGCTGATCTACTGGATCCATGTTGTGGCTGATTCTTCTGTCATGTGAAGAAGACGCTGGACAAGATCCAAATGCAGGATTCACAGCTTCAGCAATCATGGGGGATCTGGACCAGGTGTGTCTAAAAAGGTATAAAATTCTAAAAGGAATCACAAATAATCTGATGGGTGTTTTGAGCTGAAACTTAACAGACACATTCTGGAGACACAAAAGACTTACCTTAAATCCTAAAAAGGGGTACAATAGGTGCCCTTTACAGATTAAAGAACCCCCATTTTGCATTAAATAGATCATTTTTAGGTTTTAGGGGTCTCCAACAACATGCTGATATGTGCAAGGTCAAAAAACACTTTCATTGTCTTATAATATGCATTTATCTTTACCTAATTATCCCAGCGACTTCTATATGGACCGTTCAGCAATTCGTTTGTTCCCAAAGGACCGATGACACAGCTTAACACAGAAGATTACAGTAAACTGAAACTGTCAGTCCAGTTTTCAGAGGCGAAGTTCAGTTCAGTTCAGTGTGGTCTAATTTTCACTGCTGAACGTCCAAACACTGAAGAGCGAATCCATCGATGCACATCTATACAAGTCCCAGACCGAGCAAGCTAGTGGTGAGAAACAAACTTCACCAATTGACGAAAGTGAAGGAAATAAAAACCTTTAGAGAAGCATGGCTCAGTTGGGCATGACCATTTCTCCTCTGGCCAAACTTCTTGTACGGAACTGCAATCTAGGTGCTGGAGGCTGGAGAACACTGGACGTCCATCGTGGAGAACTGCAGGTGTGGGTAGGTAACCGGCAGGTGATCAGGCTGGCCCACGGGATCAATGTGAAGACTCAATAAATAAAGCAGAAACATCCAGTGTTCAAGGTACATTTTTATTTCTTTTACTAAAAACGGAGAAAAAAGGTCACATCAACATTTACCCTTGTTAATACAGTATCCTCAATATCTTTCCAACAGAAATCAAATACACCAGTTTTTCTATTTCCTTTCAATCTTATATTAAAATATCAAATAGTTCGCAATCTAACAGTGCTTATGAAGTACACATCACTGGCTTTATAGCAGAAACCTTGAGTTTTTCCTCCGCTCTGCCAGCGCTCTTCAGCGGTGGAGTAAAAAATAATAATAATAACAATTAAATAAAATCAAAATACACAGAAGAAAATAAACCGTTGTGTAATCATGTCCGTTTTTCCTCTGACAAGCTGAACATGCAGAAAAAAGGCCATAACACAACTCTTCCTACAGAACACACTGAAGTATCGTCAGACACATCAGGAGACGATTTCCCCCCAGAATCAAGACATCAAATTTAGCATTTTTCCCCAAGTACAATCTCACTATGTTGCATACCGTGACTCGTCCCAAAAAGCTGGCTGATTTAAACCAACAATCCACTTCTTATTTTGGAAATAGGCTCATTTTACAACTCCCCTAAAGTGAAACAGTTCAGTTTTACCTTGTTTTAATCTATTCAGCCAATCTCTGGGACTGGTGAGAGGACTTTTAGCTTAGCATAGATCACTGAATCGGATTAGACCATTAGCTTCTCGCTTAAATATTTCAAGAAGAGTTCTGATATTTTTCTTATTTAAAGCTTCACTCTTCTGTAGTTCATTTGTGTACTAAGACCAAACGACACTAAAAAGTTGCTATTTTCTAGGCCTTTTCTGAGAGAGGTGCTAATGGTCTAATCCAATCCAATGATTTTTGCTAAGCTAAACTAAAAGTGACCCAGCAATCATCTGAATAATTAATCTGAATTGATTTAAAAATGGTAAATATCAACTGTTTAACTGTAGGAAAGTTGTAAAATGAGCCAATCCCCCCCCCCCCCCCCAAAAAAAGTGGAGTGTTGCATTAACTCTTGTCTACAGCATAATCAAGCCTATACTGACAGTTAAAATGAATCAAAAACAGACCAAAATAAATTGCAAATGAACGGTTCTGCAGAGTCTCCATGTGTACTGAACTGTACAGGCACAATTAACAGTATATATTCATAATAAATAGGGCAATTCTTTTGGCCTGGATGTACTTGGACGAGAAAAGGTCTGGGAAAAGATTTGCTTAGAAGGAAATACTCGCACCATGAGATTTAATTCTGAACAAACGCATTTGCTCTTCCTTTCTCTCTCACTCACACACACACACACGCACACACACACACACACACACACACACACACACACACACACACACGCTCATATCACATGCACAAAAGCTTCTGACACTAAACAAAACAAATCATGTGTATAAACATGTCAATGCTGATGTTTACCGGAATGTCTCTTGGGGAAGAGGAGAAATTTACCGTAGTAATCCAGCTCCGGGATCACTGAGCTGGGCTTCAGAGGAGTTCACAGACATCCCAGCATGCATCTGTGTCTCTGATGAGCCAACATCCCATCATACAAACCTTCAGACGGGACGGTAATGGGGTGGTGTTTGTGGTTGGCAGGACAGCGGTGTGATAAGTGTGTGATTTGCTTGTGTTGACGGTGAATGGTGGGCTCTCTCAGGTGGTCCTCCTCTTGCCGCAGCTCTTCTCCGGGCTGCACATGAACACAGTCTCTTGCTGATGGCGTTGCTTGTGTACTGAAGAACTGGATGGCGTGGCGTGTGTGTGTGTTAGACGTCAGTGGAGAAGTAGAGTGTGTTCTTCTTCAGCTCAGCGAAGGATATGGGCGGATGCTGCAGGTAATACAGCAATACCTGAACCTGTGGAGACAGACAGACAGAGAGAGAGAAGAACTTAATGAAAGACATCCCACTCTAACCCCCTGACAATCACTGAATAACCTATTCACATTGACTGTCATGTACGAGTGGTGCAGCCGTTAGCCATGTTTCCATTCAAAGATTGAAATGTGTGTGTATGCCTAAGTTTCAGCTCAAAATAGCCCAAAAGATATGTTTTAAAACTGCAAATATTGTTTTAAATAATGTTTTAAAACTGTTATAAACTGCAGCTTTAAGGCTTTGATCGTAATTGTGCCATTTTGGTGACTGTCGCTTTAAATTCAAAAGAGATTGTTGATTTTTTTAAAGAGGGCGGAGCTAAAATGACTATGGCTGTTTCTCAGTATGTGTTCTCGTCTGTACTTGCGTTCTTGTGTCCTCGTGAAACGTCATCAACAGTCGCTGACATTCATTCATCCATTCATTCATTTTTTGTTTCGGCTTAGTCCCTTTATTAATTTGCATGTTTTCCACGTTCGCGTGGGTTTCCTCTGGGTCCTCCGGTTTCCCCCACAAGTCCAAAGACATGCGCTATAGGTGAATTGGGTATGCTAAAAATTGACCATAGCACGTATGTGTGTTAATAAGTGTGTATGGATGTTTTCCAGTGATGGGTTGCAGCTGGAAGGGCATCCGCTGTGTAAAATATGTGCTGGATAAGTTGGCGGTTCATTATGCTGTGGCAATCACAGATTAATAAAGGGACTAAGCCGAAAAGAAAATGAATGAATGAATGAATAACTATATGGCCGTGCTTTATATAATTAAATAATTTTATTGTTATTGTATAGTGAAACCGATAAATTCATGGTGAGGTAAATGACGTTATAAAGTACACAGTCATTTTATTTGAAGAAATACCCGTGCATACTTGTTATTGAGAAACAGCAATTGTGTCAGCATAGTGGCAGATTCAAAAACAAGACTAACGCCAGGGCTCAACAATATGGACTGCCCGATGGCCCGGGGCCAGCATGTGAGATGCTCGGGACAGTAGACAGGATAGCTACTGGCCCGATCGGGCCACTGCTTCCTTGTTACTAAAGTTTAATTTGCCTGTGACTATTTGTCAATTGCGTGCAAATAAAGTTTTAGAATTGAGAAACAGTTCGTATTTTCAAGCCTTCAAATGCTACCTTCTCGGTTCTTCTTATCTGATTAATACACATTTCTATTATAAGAAGTTGATTTTATTCACAGATTGTTGCCACATAACTATGTTTAAACCCATTATAAACCTGATTTATGCATCATAGGTCCCCTTTAATCATTTAATCCAAAATGCGTGTATAAATAGGTGGGCGAAAACAACTATTGTAGCTTAAATGTGTTGAGACTTCCGTTATCATTCACTTCCATTCATTTTTAGCCAGACAAAACAACTTGCGCTGCTTGATGACCCATTTTTAATATATATTTTTTAATGTTTCTTTTAATCTTGCTTTCATAAAGCACTATGAATTACCATAGTATATATATTTCTATTTATAGAAATGTGCTATTTAAATAAACTTGCCTTGCCTCATCACATTATTTAATTATATTGTACTGTCATAAACATGCTGGTTTTAAGCACGGGTATTTTTGAGCTTTTGTTATGCCTAATCATTTACACATTTACAATTTACAAATGAATCAGAAATCTACAAATTCAGAAGAGTCGCTTACTTCCACATTACACAATAAGGCGATTAATGAAGATCAAAAGCATTCAGCAGTTGTATTGAGCACTGAGCAGACACAAAATAATGGAGTATTTTAGCAGAAGCCTGGGGATTGAAGGGATTGCTGGTTGAGCAGCGGGAAAGGAATAAAATGGCGGTGAAAAAATGGACCACACATAGCAATAGGCAAAATATGTCGAACAATGAAATAAACCAAGAACAAAACCCCCTCCAAAAATATTTGATTATAATAAATCAAAAGTTACAAATAAAACAACAAACAAAAACCCTTTTATTAAATGACTTCAATATTGGAAATATAACCCTCCCTGACTTTCAATGTCTGAAATAGACCATTTAAAAATTCCATGATGTTACTTCCAGATGACCCGTGGGAACCCTGAACATTCCCATCATCGAGCATAATGCCAGCCTTAATCAAACATTCACCGCTAGATGGCGCTGCGAGCCTATTCTGAATAAACTGATTCTGTTACTTTTTTCTCACTAGAAAAGAAACAAGCTAAATATTTTATTATTTATAAGGTAACCACAACAAATGCAATAGGTTATTAATATTATAAACACTGAGAAAGAAAGCTTTGAGAATTAACTTATTGTTAATATTAGAATTTACTTACTATATGTCAGTATAACAACTGTATAATAATACATATATTAGTATTTATTTATCTGTTAATTTCATCTTATTTGATCAAGTCCCTGCTCTGGACTTTGCTTGGATACCTTGTTTTTGTTGTTTTCTTTTTCAGCTATTCTGTTGTGGAAAGTCTGGAATCTGTCAGGAATTGCAGGACCCATATTTAGCTGTCAAGTGTTCATACCTGAAGCACCAGACCAACTGCTAAAACTTCAGCTGATGATCTTCAGCTTTTTGTTAACGCTATAGACCCTTTTGAGGAATGTAAACAAAAACAATGGTCCCAACAAATTTCCTGTTTCACATTTGTAATTTCTAGAGCTTTAGATAATCCAAAAAGAGCCACATATTGATAAATAATGCTGTGACAGCTGTTTTAACATTAAGCTATGATTGAATTATCTCTTGTTACAGCTGTGAAATAGTTTGATAACAAGTAGGAAATGTTCATGGGCCAATGACATCGCTGCATTGAAATGGTCTATGTGTTGTTCATCTGCTATTTATTTTGTAAGACCCGATATGGAAAAACGTGAACATCATAGGGTGTCCTAGGCAACACTTCAGCACGGTGTCCAGATAGTATTAATGCACTAAAAGCCAGGTGCTGGAGAACTGACCTGTGCCATGACATCATGAGACCAGATGTCGGAGGCCAGTGTGATTTGGGCTTTACTGCTCTCGGACTCTGACGGCCTCAGGAGAGTCGGACCAAACACTGTGGCCAGATTGTGCAGAGACATCTTGTTGATCGGCTCCTTCTCTGCCACCCTGAAACCAGAGGAAAAGCTAACAGTAGCATCACGACGCTTTAAACAGCAGCTGTCCAGCAGGTGTCCTCAGTGAGCGCCTGCAGTGAGTGTGACGTGTTAAAGAGATATGCTGTATCTGTTATAAACAATGTACTGAATGCAAGCTTTACAATTATAATAAAAGGGAAAAAAAGTATGTCCAGCGTGTTTAAACAATATTTGAGCATTTATTTTTTCTGAAGAATAGTACGTCAGTTATAATGAGTAATATTAATACTGTTTAATCAGATTTGTATATACTATGTTGTTTTGCACTGCTATGTACTTATTATTTTTACTTATATATAACACTTGTAAATCTTAAAACATAAGTTAATATACATTTTTTACCAATGTAAATATTCTGAGAGCTTTAAAAGAGAGCCTATAATAACATAACATGGCTTTAGAACAGTAACAATTTTTATTACAATAATACATTGTAATAAAAAGTGTTTGTAAAAAGATTAGATCTACAGTTTGTGGTAATACTGAAACATTTGACACTATCTGGCAACCCGTTCTCTTACACTTTAAAAATAATTAATAAATAAATGTGTACATGTATGTGTATATGTATGCAAGTACATAGATGACCTATTTTCCCTGCCCCTGGCTTAGTTATGAACGAAGAGTGTTTATTTATTTATTTTTTTAAACATTTGTTATTATTACTATGAATTTTTTTTTATGAATTTATTTTCTACTGCTGCACTCTTTGCATATTTGTATTTATATATTTTCTGTATTTGTATGATCACCAGCGAGATCTAACCACCAGATGTCGCTGGTAAACACTCACATCCACAGGAACTACAAATCTGCTTATAAATGGACTACATAACCAGTCATGCTCCACACACACAACCGGTTCCAGATCCTCACTGATTGCATACACACAGCTGATGCTGCTCATGTACTGATTACACACACACATATAAATACAGCTCACTTTGAAACCCTCATTGCTGAGTCTTGTTAACTGTAAAGTAACACTACAACGCGTTTCCTAGTCTTGTTTTCCCGTGTTTTGACGAGCCTTGTTAGCACGTTTGTCTTAGTTTGCCGCCTGGATTCTGACCTCTCGCCTGTTACTGATTATGATTCTGGACTGTCTCCATATACTTGTTTGCACCTGTGTTGACCATTGCTTGCCTGACCACTAATTAAACCTGCATTTGGATCCTTACCTCAGTTGCTTGTGTCACTCCCCAGGGTTACAGTATTGTTGTTTGGCCAAATTTTTCATTTATGTATTTATTTTAATTATTTTCCTTAAAGCAAAAATATGTACTTGTATTACTTTATTCAGAGAAAAAGAAAATGTGAGCAAATTGTGTTCTGCTGCTACATTGGAGCAGTTGATGTCTAATGATTCTATGTATCTGATGCTGTGGCTCTCTGGCTGATAACAAACAAAGTGTGTGTAAGAAATAAATAATAACTAAACTATATCCAGTATAATATGTTACCTCTTGAGGTGTTCCAGCAGGGTGAGGAATGTGATGAGGTTTGGGTCTGGCAGCGAGCGCAGCAGATGCATCATGCAGTTTTCTTTTGCTGCAGGATCTGATAAAGCTGTGGTTAAAAACAGCAGGGTTGTGATATAGAACCTTGTTTAAATATAAAATAGAAGAAAGGTGGAAAAGGTCATACAAATGCCCTCCATGAAGGCCGGGTACAGCCGATCCGTGAGAAGAGGTTCTGGCAGTTCCCTGAAATACAGTTTCAGCGTCCCTGCTATGGCATTAATGTCCATATCACTCAACATCATCAGGATATCTTTGGTATCTGAGAGAAAAGGGGAAATAGTATATGATATCATAACATAAATGCTGCCATAAATACTTATGATTAACATATGACGTTATGAAGGTGGCGCAGTGGTTAGCACTTTCGCCTCACAGCAAGTTAGCATTTCTGTGTGAAGTCAGTATGTTCTCCCCGTGTTGGTGTGGGTTTCCTCAGGGTGCTCCGGTTTCCCCCACAGTCCAAAGACATGCGCTACAGGTGAATTGGGTAAACAAAATTAGCCATAGTATGTGAGTGCATGTGTGAATATGAGAGTGATTGGGTGTTTCCCAGTACTGGGTTGCAGCTGAAAGGGCATTCACTGTGTAAAACATAGTTGGCGGTTCATTCTGCAGTAGCGACCCCTGATAAATAAGGGATTAAGCCGAAGAAAAATCAATGAATAACAGTGAATAACACTTGTATTGTATGTGAGCTAAAGGTAGAGCTCTGGATAGTCCCTGCAGCGTTTGTGTGTGTGTGTGTGTGTGTGTGTGTGTGTGTGTGTGTGTGTGTGTGTGTGTGTGTGTGTGTGTGTGTGTGTGTGTGTGTGTGACAGCTGGAGGGGGTCGGACCTCTGCATGGCCTTTCCCACAACACTGCTGCTGCTTTTAGACTCAAACACACTGTGACCTCACATAACCACACAGACAGATTGATGGGAAATCATCAGGAGAAAGTCAAAGCAAAATAAAAGATGTATTACGCACAGTTGAAGTCAGAATTATTAGCCTTCCTGTATATTTTTCCCCCAATTTCTGTTTAACGGAGAGATTTTTCACAACACATTTCTAAACATAATAGTTTCTAATAACTCATTTCTAATAACTGATTTCCTTTATCTTTTACTAAATGTTTTTCAAGATATTAGTATTCAGCTTAAATTTCCATGTAAAGGCTTAGGTCAATTAGGTTAACAAGGCAGGTTAGGGTAATTAGGCAAGTTATTGTATAACGATGGTTTGTTTTTTAGACAACTAAAAAAAAAAATATATAGCTTAAAGGGACTAATAATATTGACCTTAAATGGTGTAGCCAAAATAAAACAAGTAAGACTTTCTCCAGAAGAAAAAATATTATAGGAAATACTGTGAAAAATTCTTTGCTCTGAAAATTTTTAAAAAGTAAAAAAAATCATAGGAGGGCTAATCATTTAATTTCAAGTGTATGTTTTTTTCTCTTAATTTTTACAAAAAATATTTGTATTTATTGCATTTTACATTCCTCTTGTAGTGTTTTTATTATTTGTATACACCCAGGGTTTGAGGGTAGCGTAATTTCAATTCTCTGTATGTCTTTACATGGGGCAGAATTGACAATAAATCTGAGTCATGTGGAGGGGATTTAAAAAAAAATAAATAAAAAGTTTACACAATACTCATGTAAATTGCTGCCCATGAATTAAAACATTTTCCCCATACAATAGAAATAGTTTCATTGAATTAAATTGTTTCTGAGCAACAAGTAAATAAAAAAAAAAATCAAGACTATCACACATTTTTACCATTATTTCAGTGTACATTATTTTATAAAGAATCTTTTCAGGCATACCGAGATGAAGAACGATTAGATGACTTATTAAAATACCCAAAATACCACTGAAATGTATTTTCATTTCAAAACTTTAATAGTCCTCCAGACTACTAGGTTTTTCCTATTTGTCAAGTTTTCAATCATGTAAGATATAATGTCATTATAGCATAATCGCTTGTTCTTTTATTTATTTTAATAAGTACAGGTCAGATTATTAATGCTGTTTCATTCATCATTTAAGCTGAATGATGATGCCATTTAATCAAAAGTTGTCTGAAATGTTGAACACTGTATAGAAATGATGTTTGAAATGTAATTTGATGAAGACCCCGAAATTACCTTCACCGCATATACAGTATATACACAGTTAAAGTCAGAATTATTAGCCCTGCTGTGATTTTTTTTTTTTTTTTCAAATATTTTACACATGATGTTTAACAGAGCAAGGACATTTTCACAGTATGTCTGATAATATTTTTTTCTTCTGGAGAAGGTCTTAGTTGTTTTATTTTGGCTACAATAAAAGGAGTTTTTAATTAAAAAACCTTTATAAGGTCAATATTATTATCCCCTTGAAGCATTTTTTTTTAATTGTCTACAAAGCAATCTACTGTACCCTGATACCCTAATTAGCTTAATTAACCTACTGTAGTTAAGCCTTTAAATGTCACTTTAAGCTGAATGCTACAGTAGTATCTTGAAAAATGTCTAGTCAAATATTATGTGCTGTCATCATAGCAAAGATAAAATAAATCTGTTTTTAGAAATACATTATTAAAACTATTATGTTGAGAAATGTGTTGAAAGAAAATCTTCTCTCTGTTTAACAGAAATTGGGGGAAAAATATACAGGGGAGCTTATTTTTTTAATTCAACTGTACATGTTGTAGTTGTTTACTTCTAGGATGTGTGTGTGTGTGTGTGTGTGTGTGTGTGTGTGTGATAGGATAAGAGTCTCTTACTGGCGTCAAACGCAGCTTTGAGGGCCTGGATGTCTGTGGCCACTCCAGAGATCCTGTAAATGCCCACTTCATCAATCCCTCTCTTCTCCACCTCCTCTATGCACTGCCGCACAATATAAGGCACCTTGGAGCGCTCGCGTCTGAGGAACAACACACAAGATTAATATACAGCTGATCCATCTACTGTCAAATATTAAGTGCTTTTCAAATATTTTTGAAAAGTGATGTTTAACAAAGCAAGAACATTTTTCACAGTATTTACTTTTATAGTTTTATCATGAAGAAAGTCGTATTTCACTGGAATATTTTCTTTAAAACTGCTAAGGTCAACAATATTAGCCCCCTTAAGATTTTCTCGATTGGCTATAGAACAAACTATTGTTGTGCAATCATTTGCCTAATTAACCTAACTTAACCTAATTAACCATTTAAACTGCACATTAGGCTGAATTGTATTATGTACGGTCATGGCATATACAAAATACATTTGAAATTAGTTAAGGGTTCATACATATTGTTAATACTAAAACTCAACAACAACAATAACAACAACAATAACATCAAATACTAAATCAGTTGTGGATTGAATTTTTACACTCAAAAATGGAGTCAAATATTATAAAAATCAGCTTGTAGCTCAGGGTTTAAGCAAACTAAAAGTTATTTTTAAGCAATTAAACATTTCAAGGTTTACTAGAACTGAACTGGGTCATGAACTGAGAAATCTAAATCTGCCCTGCTCTTTTGACATAGAGGTCATAAACACATCCTGTAAGATTCAGAATTCAAAACTTTCTCATAAGTCGAACAGCTAATACTAAAACCTGTTTGCCAAAACAACAAGTTGTGGGATGTGTCAGTTTATAATAGTGTGGCTAAACTCCACGCAAAGCTGTTCTTTCGCAATATTCAAAAGTGTTAGCCAATCAAATCAATGTGCATTTTCTATGAAGAGTATAATCTGCCACGTCTGTTATGAAATGGTATTGAGGAGGGTCAAAAGAGGATGACAAATAGCCTATTAAAACAATCAGGATGAGCTTTAATCACCAATTGTGCACAAACAGACAAGGAAGTTTTCTTGTTGTTTGCAGGAGCTGAGTACTTACAATTGTGCAACATTTATCCTTTTTCACATATTTATCAAGTGATATTTAATGGAGAATGGAAACTTTCACAGTATTTCCGATAAAAATTTTTTCCTCTGGAGAAAGTTTTATTTGTTTTATTTCAACCAGAATAAAAGCAACTTTTAATTTTTTAACACCATTTTAAGGTCAATATTATTAGCCCCCTTAAGCAATATTGTTTTTCGGTAGGCTAAACAGAACAAACCATCATTATACGACTTGCCTAACTACCCTAACCTGCCTAGTTAGCCTAATTAACATTGTTAAGCCTTTAAATGTCACTTTAAGCTGTATAGAAGTGTCTTGAGAAATATCTAGTCAAATATTATTCAGTGTCATCATGTCAAAGACAAATTAAATCAGTTATTAGAGATGAGTTATTAAAACTCTTACGTTTAGAAATGTGTTAAAAATATCCTTTCAATAAACAGAAATTAGGGAAAAATTATAAAAGAAGTAAAATGTATAAATCAGGAGGGCTAATTATTCTGATGTTAACGGTACAGGTACATACACATATATACATTTAGATGGTTTTATGGAAATATGTGCACTTTTGACTGTTTTAACTGTACAAATAAGAAATATAAATATTTATATAAGACTATTTACAAATAAGTGGCTTTATTGGTTACAGAAACCATAAACAGTAAATGTCCTGTGTTTTTTTTATTTACATCAAAATTATGATTTTTGATTTTTCACAGAACAAATCTTGATGAAGTGGACTAAAATGGCCCTTTAGGGCTTGACATGTGACTCACTTTGTCACCACGCTGATTTTGACTCCAAACACGCCGCTCTGTTTCTTAGACGGCGTCCGCTTCAAGCTCAAGTCTCGGCTTGTAAACTTCATCGAAAACTCTACTTTAATCTAAAAAGAAAATAAAAGTCATAGATAGGACATCAGATGCAGGGCAAAAACTCAATCAGCGTCACCATATTTGATGAGAAGTAAATCCGTACCCCGTTCATTTCTATGACATCCATGTGCCAGTTTTTGGACTGCACCGTCTGTGGGTCCAGCTGTAAAAAGAGACAAAGAGGAAAGAAGATGAGAACTGAACCATTGTTAAATGTATAATGCAATTTCTTCTTTGCTTCTTAATGCACTTTCAGAAATAAAGGTACGCAAGCTGTCACTGGGGTGGTACCTTTTTAAAAGGTACAAATTTGTACCTAAAAGGTCCATATTAATACCTCGAGGGTACATATTTGTACCTGAAAAGTTCAAGTGTTCCTCCTAAATTTTTTTAGGTACTAATATATACTTTTGAGGTAGCAATATGGACCCTTTAAGTACAAATGTGTACCTTCTAAAAAGGTACCATCCCAGAGACTGCTCGCATACCTTTATTTCTGAGAGTGTGCAATGGCCTCACAGAATACTGTCACAGATCAAAGGTCAGTGCTGAGAGACCACAGCAAAACAGAACTGGTGGATTATTTGATTATTGCAGAGTCCACCCTAACAATGAAAATGCTTTTAGCATTTACAGTACTCTGGTTTATTATATTTTATTATGTATTTATGTATTTGTTGAGTATGTAGGAGATAAAGTAAGATATTTTGAAGAATGTTATGGATTCAACAACAGTTGGTTTCCAACTGACTTCCAATATTCGTAATGGTCGGTAGAAGAAAGAAATTCATACAGATATATGTAGAGTCAAGCCCAAAATTATTCAATACCCCTGGCAAAACGTTATGTTTATTCAACCAAGTTTCTTTAGGGGGTATGAATAATTTTGGGATTGACTGTATAAACTGATAGTTTTCATTTTTGGGTGGACTATGCCTTTAAAGGTCAACAAAAGAAATCTGAAAAGCATTTGAACAATGAATAGCATTAAAAATGATTTCCATGATCAAAAAACATGGAAGCTTTTAGGACATGAAGTTGTTTATGTGTGTATGAGTGTACTCCAGGTTGATACGATGTCTTTTATCAATATATTAGCAAACACCTGCATTGTATGTCAGGTTTCAAATGTACTTATTTGACAATATGCAGATTAACAGGAAAACACGAGGTCCATTTTATAACTTAATAACTTCATGAATTTCAGTCAACATGCAAACTCTTTTTAAACCTAAAAAGACATTTCAAACATAAAATTCCTTCTTATTCTTCTGTTTTCTTATCATTCTCTCTCTCTCTCTCTCTCTCCATAAAGATGACTCAAAAAAATTTTGCTATTCTGTCTAAATATTCCCAGGCAGTCCATTCTATAAAAAACACTCTTGGGAAACTCACAGACTATTTTTTTTTTTGCTCTTGTTATTATTACATATCCAGTTTGTATGTAAATGTGATTAAATTAAAGAGATCTGCTGCACTTAAAAATTAAAAATCTTTTTTTTTTCTCAAACCTCTAAGACGTCTTTTCTTCAGCTGACAACAAAAGAAGATATTTTGAAAAATGTTGCTTAACTAAGCAGTTTGCAGTCCCCATTGAATTCCATTGTCTTTTTTTTTGTACAACATCATGAAAAATATGTGTTAGTTAACCAGCTTTGGATCTCAGGGTTTTTCCACTTTTCTCAAAAAGGTTTTGAATTACATTATGGGATCTTGATGTTTAAATTTTAACACCACATTTTAATTTCTATTAACATATTTATTAGTTGTACAGTATGGGGAAATCAATGCAGATCAACAACTCTTTGATTGCCAACATTCTTAGAAATATCTTCTTTTGTGTTAGACAGAAGGAAGAAAGCTGTACAGGTTTTAAACAACTTCATTTATTCATTTTCTTTTCAGCTTAGTCCCTTTATTAATCCAGGGTCGCCACAGCGGAATGAACCTCCAGTTTTAAACAACTTAAGGGTCAAAAACAAATAAAATAAAAATAAAAGAATTGTTATTTTGAGTGAACTATCCTTTTAACTCTGATACAAAGCTGCATAATGGACCCTGTTTTTACAATCACACTGCACTTTAAACACAACATGGATAAATAAATAAAAAACAATGAAGAGCCTCTAGTCCAGGGGTCACCAAACTTGTTCCTGGAGGGCTGGTGTCCTGCAGATTTTAGCTCCAACCCTAATCAAACACACCTGAACAAGCTAATCAAGCTCTTACTAGGTATACTTGAAACATCCAGGCAGGTGTGTTGAGGCAAGTTGGAGCTAAACCCTGCAGGGACACCGACCCTCCAGTCCCGAGATTGATGACCCCTGCTTTAGACACTTCTTTCAGAATATAGGATGTAACAGTGACATTAAATATATAGTGACTATATTAAAGAGATAAAAAAAATTAAATTTCCTTCATCATTTACTCGCTCTTCTCTTGTTCCAAAACTGTTTGAGTTTCTTTCTTCTGTTGAACAGAAAAAGAAGATATTCTGAAGAACATTGGGAAGAAACAGCCATTGACTTCCACTTTTTTGTTCCTACTATGATTTCAATCCATAGTTTTTCCCCCTACATTTTTCAGAATATTTTCTTTTGTGCTGAACAGAAGAAAGAAATTCATAAAAACCTTAAATAGGATGAGGAAATGTTCATTTTGATGTGAATTTACCCTTTTTCATCAAATAATGTGTTTGGTATTGACCATAAATCAGGGCCAGACAAAATCTGCTGACATCTGTTTTGCTATTTCTGTGAAAAAAGTTGAATAAAATCTGTGAAACTTAAAGCATGAAATAAAAATAATGGCGTTTTAACAATTCCATTGACTCCTTTTATAATTATCTACTAAAAGACAGAAAAATATTACTTTACAAGCAGTAATGTAAATAAGTCATATACACATTCATATTAGATCATAAAATGACTGATTCATATAAAAACTAAATAAATATCTATTTACACACACTCAAATATCATGTTTGCCGTTTGTTCAAACTATTTATTTAAAATGAGCTGAAACAACACAATCTTAAAAGCTTTTTTTGCAGGACAACTTAATTGTTTATGTTCAAGCCACTTTGTAATTTGTAAAAACTAAGTTGACTTAATTTCTTCATGTTGTCCCAACAAAGATAGATTGCATGGAACCCATCATCTTTCAATGATGTGTTGGAACAACATAAAGGAATAAAGTTAACTGATTAGTTTTAACAAATTAAAGTGGATTGAACATAAAACAATTAGGTAGTTTGAACAAGCAACAAATTTAGAGTGTTTTTCAATGCAAGTAACAATTTCAGCAAAACAATATCTTTAGGATTACACCACTCTACAAAAATTGTGTGCCATTTCCATTAACACACAACTCTCTGAGGAAAACAGACTCTCTCTTCCTTTCTGAACGTCAGAGAAAAGACGGATGATGGGAAGGGTACTTTAGGGAAGACCCTCCCCCTCCTCTTAAACTAACCTGTCAATCAAACCTAAAAGGCGAGAGACACAATTATAAACAAACTGACAGTTTGGACTACACTGAAAACCAGCTCTCTCCATACAGCAGTCTGATCTACAATAACACTGAATCAAAACCAATTCTTATGTAAGTGTGTGTTCAATTACACTTCACTAGCCATCAGCATTACGTTTACTGACGAGTGAGGGAACCAACTGCACACATGCTGACAAAACACCAATTAAAAGAACATTTACAGGAAAACACGCCAAGCTTGTCTGATACGGCCTGTCAAGTATATAAAACTGCTTAGTTTGTATCACTGAAATCAATTGTCTTAATGTAATTAGTGGCCAATCGTCATTACTGATGTTGTTTATACACATATTAGAGACTATAAGAACATTATTATTGGATATTTATAGAACACTGTAGCCTTAATCCCACTGATAAACATATATGACGTTTACACCAATCGAATTGACTATAGGTAATGAATGGATATTTTGAGATCAACAGTGGATAGATTTTTTTGTTCATGTTTAAAAACAAGTACTTAGTATTTTTCTGTACCACATAACGTTGATTTGAGCAAGTAATTCATTTATTTATTTACTTTACTGCTTGTTTTAGGATATAATAAATGATAATAAAATATAACTAGCTATTAAGTAAGGTTTATAACCCTTTTACAATTTTCTAAATGGTTTTTATTATAGAAGTCTCTTCAAAATATTTTAAATGTTTTGTTTTTGCTGTAAAATAACTGGTTAAAATGTACCCATTTACTGACAGTTTCAAATCTGCCAACAATCCTTGTTATTCTGGGAGTCTCCCATATTTCAGACCCATCTCCCGCTACCCTCCCGTTTTGCGATTTCTCCTAAAAACTTCCTATAATTTTACCCCCCAACCCGGTCCTCAGGTTTTTGGTACAGTCTAACACCTTCCCCAGTCGCCACCTTTGGTTTAGTATCCAATCGCTTTAGCCTCCTAAAACCTAGTCCATAGTACAGTTACTAACACCACACCCCCCACACCAGTTCTCAACTGTATAACCAGCCTGATCTCACGAGAAAACGTAAGTATTTTACCTTTTGCCAGTTTAGTGGCTAATTCGTACGAATTCGTATGAGTTCAGTCGTATGAAATTGCACAATATTAAAAAGGAGGCGTGGCACCTAACCCCACCCCTAAACCCAACCGTCATTGGGGAAAGAGCAAATCGTACTAAAATGTATGAATTAGATCGTACAAATTCATACGAATTAGCCACTAAATGAAAAAGTTACGAATTGCCGTGAGATTGTGTTGGTATAACCCAGCCCCTGGTCTCCCGGAATTTCAAAGGCAAAAATTGTATGGTTTATTTATACTAGTCAATTGCATTATGGAAGTTTTATCTTTGCTCTGTCGACTTTTGATGTTGAAAATTTGAAACTCTTTTGAACAAAACATTTTAAACTGTTTTAAAACTTGCTCTAAAACTTTTTACTGAACAGTTTTATTTTGTTGTTGTTGGATCGTATGGAGATTTTTAACTTCATGCCTTCAAATCAACAATGTTAATAAATGCTACCAAATGTAATTTGAAAGGCTGTGTTCAACTGTATTTGTGTGTACGCTAATGTATGTTTCAAAGAAACAAATAGTGCAAAAAAATGTGTTTTAATAAACATAAGCATATCCTCCAAACATTTCTAAAAG